CAGAGAGATTACTCTGATGATCTACCGACTTTAACTAATAATTAATTTTACTTGCCTAAAAAAGCATCAATTGTGACCTAACTGATGATTGACCTAATCCTCATTCCGCAGGCAATGAACTAATAACGTCTTCTTGCACGACTACTACATTAAGTATTTGATCTGCCATTATAAAAATGTCTAAAATGTGGACGCACAGTACACTTTACATCCGAAATCATCCGAAACCGCCATACAAAATTAAAAACATTCCTCACGACTAGAACACTATAATCGTAAAGGAAAACATCGGGCAAGCATACTCAAAATCTAACTCGTCTAGGCACATTATACAAAGATTAGTTATCTTTTCAATTCATGACTAGATATTTAATATGTAAATACAACTACTACATTAGACAACATTAGGTAATTTTACCAAGTCAATAACGAATGGTCTATATTTCTATTTATACGTAAATTTAACTACTTTCTTTGTTTATTTATGCCAGACTACTTTAGTTGTTTTTATAAACAACGAAGCGTTTAGTTGATACCTCTAGAAAAATTGTTTACGGGCTATTTAATTTGATTTCATCTAATTTGAAGTTGCAATAACATCTTATATATTAGGTAAATTTTATAGGATTTTAGATAAAATAACGAATTTTTCCGCAACTAATCATAGTTAGTTAAACTTTCCATTTCATTTTTCTCTGTGTATAGCTTCTTAAATTCATGGATGAGTGACGAAGTATTAACATTGATATTAAGTGTAAAACGGCCTTCACACGCTTAATATATATTGTCAATATCTGTGTATTGACATTATTATTGAACGTGTGAGTAGAAAGATTGACAGATTGCCAATATTGAAAATATTGATGACATGGTTTGATGAAATCGAAATCGAATTTGATATATTGACAGTCTCAGGAAGAGATTGCCAATCTATCTTTTGGAGTAGATACGCGAACCTCATTCAACAAATTCATGTGAGAAACCGCGTCTCTCTTTAGAAGCCATTCCCTAGCCCATATTTTTTTTTGTTCCGGCGTTTTATTGTTACAGTTAAAATAATAGCTACACAAGCTTGTTGACTGCCAGCGCAAAACTAATAATAATAATAATCTTTATTGATGTTATTACACAGAAAAGTGTTTACATACGTTAGATATTTGTGTAATAAACCGAAATACGGTTACAATCTAGTCGGGTGCCATGCACTGCAGTAGTCATGTAAATGTATAATTAACATAATCATCATATGAGTAAAATGCCTGCTCCATCAGAAATATCTTGATTTGCTTTTTGAAGTTATCTAAATTGAGGTCACGTAAGTTTACAGGCAGTTCGTTGTAGAATTTAGGTGCTAAAAATGTAATACTTTTTTTGCGATTTTGTCAGTCGGTACAGAGGAGGTCTCATGGCACATCTATTCCTAGTTTCATATTGGTGATTTGAATAGTTTAGGAAAGTCATTTGATTTACTTTACAATACAGGAGTGCTTCATATATGTATATACAAGGAAAAGTTAAAATTCTTTGTTGAATGAAGCTGTTCCTACTAATTTTAGGCCACCAATTATTCTAACAGCTCTTCGTTGAAGGGCAAATAATCTTGTCCAGTCAGCTGTTTGACTCCATACTAAAATTGCATAGGAAAATAGAGAGTGGCATAGTGCAAAATATGCACGTCTAAGTACAGCCGCCGAAACAGAGTTGGATAGGTTACGCAGGATATAAATGTTCCGCGATAATTTAGAAGCCAAAGCCTCGACATGACAATTCCAAGTTAATTTTTTATCAATGTGTACCCCGAGAAATTTAGTGCTATCAGACAAAGTGAGCTGTTCAATTTCATCGCCATAAGGGCATAAGGAAAACATAATAATAATAATAATAATAAACTTTATTGTGCACCACAAGACTCTACATATTTAAGAAAAAAAAAAAAAAAACAAAAAAAAATACATGAATTAAAAACAAAAGGGCACAAAAGGCGGGTTCCAGACTTTAGTCTGTTCTAACCAACCTATACAACAAAAAAAAATAATAATATACAGAAAAAAGCAAAAAATAAAGTAGTATATACGCAAAGAAAAAAAAAAAATAAATGAAAACAATATAAAAGTAATAATAATACAAGCAAAATACAAATAATAATATAAAAAAAACATAACCAACGGCGACAACAGGATGCACACCAAATGCAAGATCATAAAAAAAAAGACAGCATTGTAAAGGGGACAAATTTAAGTGGCCTGCAAACCTACCAGTCTCTCGCCTACCCGCCTTTTGAAACCTGTCGTACTTAACTGTCGAACCGACAATGGCAGGCTTCCGTAAGATTTGTAGACATGATAGGTGAAAGAGCGCTGGAACAATGATGTTCTGTACTTTGGTGGCACGATTGCAAGAGCAAACCTGATTGGATATCTCCCATCTTCTGACTTAAAAGTTATTTTGTCATAGAGGTACCGCGGCGTCCGAGTTTTAACGATCTTATGAAAAAGCATCAAGCTAAGCAGTTCGCGCCTAGAGCTCATTTTCAACCAGTTTGCATCTTTGAGTCTGTGTGATACTCGGTCGTACTTCCTAATGCCGTAAATATATCGGAGACAACAATTCTGTATTTTTTGTATACGGTAAGACGTATCCATGTCGATTGCAGCATTCCTGAAGCATCTCGTTAAATTTTTCCTGAATTACATCTCCTGTATGTCGGCCATCAAAAGGGTGGCATTTTAAAACAAGTTTTATTCTCTTAAAATCTTCAGTTATGCCATGCGCTGTCAAGCTCAATAAGTAAACATTGGAACTGGGTTCAGTTCAAACATCGGTCGTAAATGAAATTTTTGTAAAAGTTTTCAGCAAATCCACTACCTTACTGGCCAGCTTAGGGTACAACTCATCACAAATAAATGACGTAAAAAACTGTCTTCCCCTAACTGATAATTCGGCACGATGAATTGCAACAGTGATCGAAATCCGGTACCTTCTATAAAATTGAATGGAAGGTTCTGCAGAGCAATCATCTGAGAGATCAAATTATCAATTTCCACTGATTTAGGATTTGAAGCAGCCCATTTGATCTTTCACCAAAGCGTCTTTGAGAGTCATTTGTTTTTTGGCTTCTTGAAGTGGGGATGCAGTCGAGGGCTGCTTTTTTTCAGTTTCAAGCTTAATGCATTCTTCGTATTCAGTAATAAGCAGAGCCGCGACGTTGTCGGGCAACTCATTGGTGGCTCGTCGCCTTACGGTAGAGACTCTGGCCACATGGACCACATCACGCCACATATAGTATACCACGCCACTGGTTGAGTTTTAGTCGGACAATCGGCCAAACACGTATTGAACGCTGCACCGCAGAGAACCCCCCAAATTTTACATAGGCCAGCATTCAACCAGTATCGTTACGTTGCGGCACATCGATGTGCTCGATAGAAGCATGGTACTACTACGCTATAACCCGTTCGCTGCTCTATACAGATGCTGACATCAGCAGCCCGAAACATCGCGGCTCTGGTAATAAGCAACGACTTTAAATGACTTTTTAACGAAGTAGTTGTACCTCCTTTTCTTGAATAGGTTTTCTCACAAATCTTACACATTGCCGAATTTGCGTCTACTTCATTGAAGTAGTTCCATATAACACTCGTTTTAGGCTTCATTATTCAGTCTATAAAAAACTATCACTTCAATAATACTTAACTCACAAGTTATTATTTAGAATCTTTAACGGCTCGATGCACAACGAGCTTAGACTGATACACAAATGAAAAAACAAAATACAACTGAACAATACACGCGAACGGGAAACGCGAAATCGATCGAAAAAGAAAACGAAATAACAAGCAAACGTTAACGTAGACCCACAGTGCCGCCAAAGATATATTATAACGTAAACAAAATTACTTTACGTTAAAGCATATTTTTTAGTAAAAAAAAATTATTTTTTTTTATTTCGTTAGTTTAGTTTCATTGGTAATGAAGGTTCTACCCGCCTATAAAGCATTTGCTCGCGTCGGGGAACCTCGCTAGCGTGCGAGACACATCGAATCTTATACACTGCTACATTTCGATCTTCGTTATAACTTCGATTCATAATTATTGGAGCCGAAGTCGGAGTCGGAGGTGTAAAATCAATCGAAAGTTGCGACCTTTCGGAGTTGAAGCGAAGATCCGTAACATCCCTAGTTCGCACTACAATCGCAGTAGCTTAGAGATGTTGTTGAAGAGGGGAGATTCTATCTCAAGCGAGTGAGGTACTCTTGGTCACGGTACACATACAAACGGTATGCTATTGCGCACGATCGCTCTTTCTCTGTTGCGCATTGTGACGTCATGTTCGAGAAAGAATTTTAAAACCGTACAATATAGTTTATTTTATACGGTACTTTAAGCTTGTTTAAAGCGGCCCATACACGACGACTCTTGCAGCGTCGCATGCAGCGACGCCAAGAGTCGAGCCGCATGAAGCATCGTGTGCAGGGAGCGCCAGGACTCATGCGACGGCATCGGCAGTGGCGACGGCGACGGATTCAAGACCGTGGCATGCTCCGGCGCCTTGCAAGAGTCAACGTGTATGGGCTTGCGACGTGCATACGACACCGAAAATATCGCTTTAGTTTGTTTCCAACGTCCACCGAAATGGCATCGTTCGCCGAAAGTGATTTTTGAGAAAAATTCATAAACCTTTATAGAATGTACCCTTGTTTATGGGACACAAAATCAAAAAATTATATAAACAAAAACTTAAAAACTACCGCCATAAATGAACTTGTAAAATTTACAAAAGAACGATTTCCGCAGGCAAATGCAGATCTCGTACAAAAAAAAATTCATACTTTACGTGGAAACTTCCGCCGCGAGTTGGGAAACTCATATCTAATACTGAAACGCCGAGGCCAGGACGTTCAAATATAGACACTGAAGAAAATGAAAATGAAACGCAAAGTGAGGTAATCATAAGTTCTATTATTATATTTTCACCACGCAATACTTCTATAATTAACCAACTATTCAGCAAAAGGAACACTTCCCACGCTATTAAAATATTGTTTGTATTGCGACCTTGCCTCCGTGGTTGCGACTGTTGTAGGTCTTGTCATTCTTTGTAAAGGTGTTAATTGTCGTTCTTCCCTCCATTGGCCGAACCTAAGTTCGCCTACCTCAACATCTTCTTCATCGGCGTACCTGGGTGGTATGTAGTGTTTGCTTTCATCCCGAAGAAAATTGTACGAAGCACAACAAGCCAAAACTATACAATCCACCTTATCAACAGAAAGAGATATATCTGTTTTAAAAACACCAAAACGGGACGACATTATCCCAAACGCATTTTCCACAATACGGCGTGCACGAGATTGTCTGTAGTTAAAAATGCGTTCATCGGGATTAAGTTTTTTTCGGGGATATGGTTTCATAAGATTGGGAAGGAGTGGGAAAGCTTCATCTCCCACAAACACGTAAGGAAGCGTAAACTGCGTTCCTTCCACGTTCTCTGGTTTTGGCAAATTAAGCGTGCCATTTACTAACTTGTCATAGAACGTTGTATGGTAAAGAACACCACCTTCAGATACCCTTCCATTCCTACCTGTCTGCACCATAATAAATTTATATTGTGCATCCACTACAGCCATTAAAACAATACTAAATTTTCCTTTGTAATTATAGTAGATGGATCCGCTGTTAGGAGGCTTCACAATGTTTATATGTTTTCCATCAATGGCTCCCACACATGTATCAAAGTTCCATCTTTGTTTGAATTCTAGAGCGATTTGTTTCCATTCTTCTTCGCACTGTGGGAACTACAACAAGTAATTATTATTCAACAAAGATCTCTTTGTTTTAATGAAAATGTTTAAAAGGCATTCTAGCACTTACAGTAGTATAATGGTAGTTGTACTAACAAGCGACTAACGAAAAAATGATTTAATTACAATTTTGTTCATTTCAAGCACGTTACGAGTAAAGTAATTAATAAGCCTCTAATTATTTTAGACACTACCTGACGAAATATTGGAAGTCCGCAGACACCTTTGTCTACGAGTTCCCTTGAAGTAGAACCCATCAAAAAGAGCAAAATAAAAAAAAATCTGAGAACGAATTGATAGGCTTAGCCAATGAAACATTAAAAAAATTTTGTTCTTCCAATGAAATTATTGAAAACGATTTCGATATAGCTGAAAAAAAATACGCTGCTGACCTTAAAACTTTAGAAACTAATCAACGAATAATCCTTGAAAAACTAGTAAGTGATGCTATGTATTATGCAAAACTAGGAAAGTTAACAGAAACTACGTCAGTTACAACAGGACCATCTAATTCAGGACAATACAACACAGAATGGCGATTCAATATGCATGCAATGCCACCACATCATACAATGTCACCACATACACATTTTACTGATTTAAACAGGGCTACCTCAAATACAAGTCAGGAACTATTAACATTTAATTACAATAAACATGTAAACTAATGTATGTATTTTTTTTTTTGAACTAGATTATAATTACTTGGTTATGTTAAAAATAAATAAACTAAAAAAACCTAAATTAATAAATATCAGGTATTCAAAAAATTACAATCTATTTCATAAATCAAGTTTTCAATGACACTCAATTTCTATAAAAAAAATATTTTCAAAGTTAAAGAAAGTGATTTTTGGCTCACTGATAATATATAGAGATATACTATTTACCTTCATGTATGTTTTCTGAAGTACTTTGTAAATGGCATCGCACGTTTCTGAAATAATCTTGCCTAGCAGCGGGGGCTAAATTATCGTTGAAAATTTCAAATCTTCTAAACTATTTCCTGTAGCCAGATATCTGAGTGTCACAGCTAATCTAACTTCAGCAGTCACTGCAGCTCTCATTACCGTATCCTTCTTCTCAATTAGTGGGCGTACCAGTGTTAAAAGTTTTTGAAATTGTTCAGAACTCATTCGAAGAAAATTTTTATAATCAGTAGGCTCCGTTTCTTGTAGCTCTCGCAGCAAATTTGCGATGCCGAATTTCTTCTTATCTTTTAACCATCTCTTGCACCATATTCGTTTAACTTTATTTTTAGTTTTTAATCTAATTGCTAACGCAACTGACAACAGCACTGGCAATGTGAAATTAATCCACGTACCATTACTGGTTGACAAGCTTTGTGTGGCCCAATACATTGTTTAAGTTTTTTATCTATCTTGTTTGAAATATAGAGTTCATCTAAGGATATAACACAAAGTCGATCTAGTTCTTTAAAATCTATGGATTTTTTTTCCATTAAACTGACTACACTTTTCATTATTCCGTGGCTAACATCAAAACCGCTAGCCCAGCTTCTCATTGTTGACATAGCTGGTAAAAGATAATTGTTGGTTCTTAAATATCTGTATGCTTTAGGACTGACACTTCGTAAAGAAATAGCAGACGTAATGTCTTGCGATGACCAGCGAATTCTCATATTTTTATCAGGATGTAGAAGCTTCCTGATCTGCCCTGGACTAAAAACTTGTAATAAGGCAGACTGGTATTTTAGTTTTGTAATATTTTCAACTTCTTCATTTTTTTTTTAAGTTGGTTGTTCTGGGTTTCCAGAATTTCTACCTTCTTTTTAAGTTCGATAATCTCATTTTCTCTAAAAAACAAATTCTGTAAAAACAAACATTTGTTGTTCGTTTGAAACAACAAATTCTACAACATATTTTGTCTAAATTAAGTGTAAAGAAATATATCTTATGACCTTATTAATTAATTAATAGTAAAAAATAATCTTTTTCTTCTTACACTTTTAAAATATACTTACTGCAACTTTTGTTGTTCTGATTGCGCTACTTGCAGTTGAGTGTTATAAATATCTGAAGATTCACATCACACATCACACAAGACCACATCACTTGAACCTAGTAGTCCTTTCCAAGTGCTTAGAGCATTTAAAATATCGTCAACTGCTAACCTTCTTGTTCTTTTAACCAACCTTTGGGTTCTTTCTTCAGATTTCTGATTTTGATTAGCAGTGTTTGAACCTCTAGGTATATTAACAGTAGAAACAGTATCAGGTTTTAAGTTACGGACAATTTTTCGTGAGTAATTTAAAAGCCTCTGCTTAAATGGTATATCAAAGCAATTTTCTTCAAAATGTATTGAGCATATAGTTGCTAAAAAACAGAAACAAAAATACTATTGGAAAAATAGGTATTTATATAACCTATCAAAATGAAAAATAAATAAATGGAACTTACCATTTTTAAGATTTAATTTGCCTGCACGCCGACACGCATTAATCCATTGTTTTGCTAATTGTTCATTTTTCAGTACCTTTTCGTGGACTTATTACTGTTTCTGCAAGTAGCCACCGCACAATTTGGCATCGTAATTACTATCAATAGTTTAAAGAAATATCCACTCGTATACACTTCTTTCAAACTAAATTAAACTATACAGGCTTATCTTCCGCATCAGAGCATTATACGGTTTTAGGATACATTATTCTGAAGCGATCTTTACAATACAATTTTTTCGAAATGTTTATAATAACCGCACGGGAACTGTTTAAAATTCTCCGCTATTATCCAATAACGGACGATTTTGATTGACACAAAAAGGGTATTTCTCTCTCCATGTCGAATCTATTGGTGAGTACACGTGAGAAACGTGTTTTGATCGAGGGTTGAGCCGATTACCTGAATCTGATTTACGATTTGCCATTGGACGTCGAAAAACAGTTCCCGTGCAGTTATTATAAACATTTAGAAAAAAAATTATTAGAAAGATCGCTTCAGAATAATGTATCCTACAACCGTATAATGATGCGGAAGACACCGGACACCCTGTATAAAATAACTTACACAAAGCGTTTTTTGAAATTAGTCGGTACTATTACTATTACTTATAGTTTAAAACAAATATTCGCTCGTATAGACTCCTTGAAATCAATTTAAATTACATAAAACAACAACTCGCATAAAGCGTCCGTATAAATTAGCCGGTAGACGAAGGGCGGTTTCTCGAATGTGAGGTAGGTGCGCAAAGCCAGTCGGAACAGAACGCCTATTCTTTTGGGCTTTGTATTCTTTAGCTTCTTTTGGTCTTTTTCTTACGTCTTCGCTTGTTATTAATTCAGCACCTGAAAAAATTTTTTCCTGGACGTTTTCGTTATATTATTAGCTTGATTTCCTTTTACGAGGTTTAGTAAAAGTGCTTCAAACGTGACCTCTTCCGTTTCAGCTGGTGTTTGTTTATGTTCTGCCTCAGGTTCTTGTTTTTCTATCAGACCGACATCTTCAGCTGATGGTGTATGTTCTTGCTGTTCCGTTTCCAACAATCTAACGCAGCCATACTCAACCTTTTTTTCCTTAGGGCCACCTACTTATGTTTGGTAAGTTACGCGAGCCGCAACATTATATACATAATGTAATAGTATTTTACACAATAAAAAACTAATGTATTTTTTACAATATTTATTTGTTACCGTTATAAATGTATTGTACTAAAATCCCTGTTTCCGAAGAAACGAAAAAAAGGCTAATTAAATTTAAGAAATTTAGTATTATGGATTAGGCTAAGTAGTTACGTTTTGTTATGATTTTCGTTTAGATTTAAGAAAAATTAGGGCGATGTGCAAGAAAAAGGTAGTTCATCGAATTCCATGACCTTCAAATTTGACCTTGTCATGTGCTTGTCATTTACATTTTTGACAGGTATTGATTATGGCGATTTTTCAGATGATTTTAGATTCTAAAAACATGCGAGATCTATAGATTGTATCGATTTAACCCATAGGCCGCAATTTCATCCATTTCGGTATCATTTTTTATATCTAAATTCCAATTTTTCATTTCCAAACTTCAACATCAAATTACGACTTTCTCGAAGGAAATTGACACCCGAAAGCGCGTTTATCTAAAAAAATGAAAAATTAGCTACAAAATTACAGAATCTTAATCAAATTTAAAGTTTATTAATAATTTCGAATATTTCAAAATTGATAGTTATTTTCTTTAAAAAAATCAATTATTTTGGCCAACCTGTGTAATTTATAATTCCCGCCACTTAATCAACCAATCAGAGAGCCCAGATTCAAACTGAGACGATCAAATTTGGATATCTAAGATGCCTTTGTCTAAAAAGGGTATATAAGGCCGCGCAAATTGACACCGAAGAGAGTTCAATTTTGGCATGGTTTTGGCTAGAGCCAAGCGTTGTCGAATCTACGTAAAATTAACCTCAAATCTTCTAACCTAAGTCTGAACTTAGAATTTTTTTTCAATTTTCTCAATTTTCTTTATCAAGTAAAAGTTAACAAGTGTTTCTGAATTATCTTCGAAGAAATCTAAACCATACCTGAGTTCGAGTCCAATTTTCCATCCTCTTCCCGAAGGACCCGAGAACTAAATTTCCCGAGATTCCAAAACTTCTAATACCGAAGAATACCCATCCCTCAAGATCAAGGTCAGCCAGCCATTTTAACTGACATGTCACACCTCCGGAAAGAAACAAGATAAGTGAACATATTTCCTTATATCGAACTCTTTAATTTTTAACCATCGCGATTAAAAATCAAACTTAAAAGATACTCATAAAATTAACGCGTATAAGCTTTGTCTACGACAACACTCTTCTAAACGAGTTACCTCTTTCTTGCACAGACAGAAATTAGTTCGAAAACTTAAAAATTAGGTTAATAGATGTCTCCATGAACTTGCGACTTATTTTTATTCTCTGGAATTCATGTTCTTTTTGATTTAAAAATGTATTTTTGTTCGTTGCGAATCAAAGAAAATATTTTTGTGTGAATTATCGTTTTGTATAATTAATTTGTAAAACATTGGTTTGCATAAAAAGTTAATAATCGAACAAAACAAAACAATACACTATTTAATAGTAAATATTACATTAAATATTATTTTTACACAAAAAACAATTAATGTGATCTTTGATACTGTGACAATTTTTTTACTACTTGAGACAAATCGGGTTTGTAATTGGTACATGCTACCCTCAATACATCATCAAGATGAGAATCAGTAAGTCTATTTCTGTAAATGTTGTTCGCATATTTAATTTTTGAAAATGATGATTCACAAATATACGTTGATACGAACAACGTGAGCAGTAAAAGGGAACACTTTTGTAAATGTTTGAATTTTTCTGGTACTATTTCTGGTAATTAAAACTCATTGCCTTCTCTCTTTTCTTTAAAAATACCTTCCAAACATGTATCGTTCTTAAATTCGATATATTCATCAGATATCTTTGCGTAATCACATCCAAAAGACGCCAATTGTGTTACACTTGTTATTTCTAAGTGCCAAGGATTTTCCACAAGCAACAGACAATTCTTGATATAACGAAAATACTGAAATATGCTCTTAAACTCATTGGATAAGGCAGCTAAATAATTAGCAAACATCATATAATTTTCTTGAGAAATATGAATACCATCTTGTTCAGCTTTTATTATGGTTGGAAAGTTACGTGATATTTGGTTCTGCATTTCTTTGTAATAGATCTTTAATTTTTCTTCAAAAGCAAATACTTTATTCGCCATCTGCGAAATAATTTTATTTTCCCCCTGTAAGCTGCGATTGAGCTCATTTAGTTTTTCTGTAATGTCGCACAGGATAGCTAAAAGACACCACCATTCATTATTTTCCAGTTCATTGTAAATTTTATTGTTTTGTTGCAAAAACAAAATAATGTTTTGCCTTAAAGAAAA